CCATACATATATATATATATATATATATTTGTGTGTGTATATATGTATATATGTATATGTATATATATACATATATATATGTGGATGTATATTTATATATAAATATATGTAAGCATATATATATATATATAGTACATATATATTATATACATACATACATATATGTATATATATATATATATGCCATGATTTGCTATATCCTGGAAGTGACACCGTGTACTGGGCTTAAGGCCATAGAACTATCAAGATTGCCTCTGGTGGGAAGAATGTGTGCACAACTCAACGATTGTGCCTTGTGTTTGTACACGCTTGCTAAGTAAAATGCATATCATTTACTGAACGTACACACTATCTTGGTGTAGTAACGCACTCGCATCGCAATAGCACTAGTGCGCGACGCTTCCCAACATCTGTAATCCACGAGTGCTTAAACGCAATTACATGCAACCCGTTTCACTACAACAACGGATGTATGAATACTTACTTGCCATTACATGCAACCCGTTTCACTACAACAACGGATGTATGAATACTTACTTGCCATTACATGCAACCCGTTTCAGTACATCAACGGATCCATGCATACTTACATGCCAATACATGCAACCCGTTTCACTACAACAACGGATGTATGATTACTTACTTGCCATTACATGCAACCCGTTTCACTACAACAACGGATGTATGAATACTTACATGCCATTACATGCAACCCGTTTCTCTGCAGCAACGTAGCGTGCTTCACGTTCGTGTCTGGGCTGCGCTACGGCCTCTACCCCTTGGCACGCGACACCACCTCCTATCTGCTGGGAGAGACGGAGAAGTCGGCTAGCTCCATGTTTGTGGCTGGGTTGGGTGTGGGGGCGTTTGCGTTCATGATGGGTATGCCCTTCTATAACGCCAAGACGCTGTTGCAGGCGGAGGCTGGGTTGGTGGACGCACACGGGTGTCTGACCAGCGGTGCGAGGAAGGTGGGTGGGTTGTTGCAACGTTGCAGCTGGGGTGGCGGTGTGTTTGCTGTGTGTGTGTGTGCGTGCGTGTATGTATATGTGTATGCGAGCGTGTATGTATATGTGTATGTAGGTGTGTGTGTGTGTGTGTGTGAATGGGTGTGTGTGTATATGTATATTTGTACATTCGCGCATATGTTATGTGTCCCGGTGTAAATATGCACATGCATGCCTGTGCATAATCTACAGCTGTTCTATTGCCTGGTGTGTGTGTGTGTGCATGTGGTGTGCCTCTCATAAGTTGATACGGCATGCATAAGCTGGAATTCGTGTGCTGGAGAGGTGTGTGTGTATATACACAATATATATATATATATATTCTTTTGGAAAGGCTTGTACGTGTCTATAGATATAAAGAGGAAGTGGGCGAACATATATCAGTACACATACGAATCCAATTAGGGGTTGCCTATAAATTCAAATAGAGTGCATTGTTTTGTGTAAGTGTGTCTATCACTGGAAGGTGTGTGTATGTGTTGGGGTGGGTGGGGGTGGATCTAGGTACGCTCACATCTGTGGTAGTGTGAGTGTACAGCGTAAACCGCCCGTGTGAACATAACAATTACTAGTTCCACGCCTACGCAAGCATGTTGTACGGATGTGCATCCCATAAGACTAGTAGTAGTAGAGCAGACACACAAGTTCAGCTATTAGTCACCAGATCTGTCACACAGCTGCGGCTGGTGGGGTCAGGTTGTCTGTTGGGTGTGTGAGGGGTAGTGTGTACTCCAAGTAACTCGTACGTCTCAGTCCTATCTTTTTGTTTACTTGTCCATAATAGGAAAGGGTACTTTATAGCCGGCACTATCCTTAGCTAGTGAAGGGGTGGGTGGGTGAACACACTGTATCACAAAGATTCACGCTATGCGCATCTCTCACTGCGACAACCTACTCCGCGTATAAAATCATGTTAACTCCCATACTCATGTGTTACGTGTGATAGTTGGTTGGCGAATACTGTCACCTCCTATACTCGTGTGTTACGTGTGATAGTTGGTTAGTGATGTCACCTCCCATACTCATGCGTTGCGTGTGATAGTTGGTTAGTTAATACTGTCACCTCCTATGCTCATGCGTTGCGTGGGACAGTTGGTTAGTCATTACTGTCATCTCCCATACTCATGCGTTGCGTGTGATAGTTGGTTAGTTAATACTGTCGCCTTTCAAACTCATGCGTTGCGTGTGACAGTTGGTTAGTTGGCCCTTCCACTGACACGCACACCACTTATGTCCCACGTGATTGTGGTCGCGTCGGTTGACATAAGTATGTGCGTACGGGCTACAGATATCGAACCAATACTAATACTGATTTTGTCTTGTTTTGTCTGGTTCTGCCTGGTTCTGACTGTGTGTCCTCCGCCTGTGCCTGTTGCCAGGGCCATGCACGGCAGTATAGGCATCTGGGGCAAGTGTTGACCCAAGTGTACCGCTCGCAAGGGACGTCTGGTCTGTTCCGAGGGCTTACGCCGGGTGTTGCGAGAGGATCGTTGCTATCTGCAGGCCAGACCACGAGTTACGACTACACCAAGGTATGTGTGTGTATTGATAGGCACACGTGTATGCGTAGGTATGTTTTAGTATGCACACGTGTGTGTAGGTATGTTTTAGTGTGCACACTGGGGTGTGTAGGTATGTTTTAGTAGGCACACGTGTATGTGTAGGTATATTTGTTGAGTGACGTATTTGTATAATACATGGTGTTGTTGAGTGTAGATGTTTTAGATCGACAGTGCTGCAATGGTCCATAGTCTGCCTTATTAAAGCATGCCCATGACATTGTCACAATCATACCTACGTAGACACGACCACTTAGAAGAATTAAGACTTGTACATATTTAGTCAGCAGTGTGATAGCGGACGTTTGTTATATATCAACCCCTGTATGATATAGCAATAGCAACCCCTGTATTATATAGCAACTCCTGCTGTGCCATTTAAACGCACAGATAGCACAGATAGCCTCATTCTGACTTATACACCCCACGTGGATAATGTTGTGCTAAGCCTCTCTAAGCGGCTTTGGACCTTCCTCTGTGGCATCACCTAACAACAAGCACACACACAAAATGACACATGTAGTGATTCATTTGCGTATTACGTCTCCACAAACAGCCGTACGTATGCAGCAGGTGCATGTGGCTCAAGATCCAAGATCAGAAAAACCACCGGACACTCGTAGTACACCTACTCAGACATACACACACCAACTGACGCTCGTAGTACACCTACTCAGACACACACATTCCAACTGACACTCATACTATATCTACATGCGCAGACATACACACACCCCAACTGGCACCCATACTATATCTACATGCACAGACCTACATACTTAGACACGAGTTGATGGAGCAAGGCCCCGTGATGCACGTGCTGTGCAGTGTCATCGCGGCGTTCTGTGCAGCCACGCTGTGTGCACCAGCTGATCTCGTGGGCAGTCGATGGCAAACGGCCCCGTTAATGGGCAGGAAGTACACCTCTCTCGTGCACTGTGTAACTAGCCTGGCCAAGGAGGAAGGGGTATTAGGTAGGTGTGGGGACGAATGTGATAGCGGTGTTCAGTGTTTGTGGCAGTGGCTTATTCGAGAATTATATGTTGTTTGGTGTTATGGGTATGTGACGCTATAGTTGGGGCGGCTCCGAACATCGGCATAGTCATGGCGTACACACCACCCTGCCTAATGCACTAGAGCCCGGGGTCATCAATGGGCCAATTGTTGAGATGTATAAGCGTCTAATTGTTTGCTATGCGTAGTGTCATATAGCACAGAAGATTGGTTGTGGTACTGCCTATCAGTAACCCAGTGGATACTATATGCCGCCCCATGAAGACTAGTTCATGTCAGTTTACGATACTTCACATGCGGAAGCCAAACGCTTAAACACCGTGCAAACAACGTGCTGTCGTCTTACACAGTCGGGGTGGAACGAGGCTTCCCTACATTGGGCACTATCGACGAGCACGTCACGAATTGATAACAGTTTCAAACGATATTCACATGTCAATGTACCAAGTGGCATGAGGGTTCTGAAGCGAAGTGGCTGCCAAGGCCACTTTAGTCGGAATGAAACCTGTCTGCATGCTGTCAGAGTCATGTCATAAACAATCGCGAAGCAGCTGACTTCGCGCCCGCATTTATCTTTCAGAATTGGTTCGTTTCGTCCAGCGTTTTTAGTTCCAATTCCCGATTTGATCACGTTTCTTTCCTTCGTAATTTTTCAATAACCATCCCCAATTTGATCACTTATTGACATGTCTCTTCCCTTCCCAATTTGTCAATAATCATTCCCGATTTGACCACGTATTGGCATAGCCAGTCGAGTTACCTAGCACAGCAAATGTTGTCCTTCTCAGTTTTATTCTATCTCTACCTAATTCCAATATCTTTTAAACCCAAACCATTGCTACCACCTGATACCATATCCCATTTTTTTTATTTGGTTCAGTATTTTACCGCGGATGGTCTGCGCTATTCATACGCCTCGCACCAGTGTTCTGTGTGAGCGTCCCGCTGTATGAGGAATTACGGAATCGCCTTGGAATAGGATACATGGATTAAGTGGGCCTTGTATGATTGATAAAAATTAATTTAGACAACAAGACATAAAATCAGGATTTTAGCGCAATCAACTTGTAAAAATAATACCGCCCTGCTACTAGGTTTGTTGACTGACTGAGGGTGTGGTAGCGTACGTTGTAAGCATTCAATAGGTTGAGGGTGGGTGTTTAAAGTATGCGTAGAACGAACTAGAAGATTTAAAGATGCGAATATTTGGATTCAGATATAATAATTGGCAAAGTCACAACGCTTCCACAGCAAAGGTCAAAGCACCCATAACTCATCCGTTTCTCCCTCCTCATCGATTGCTCGCAATAGCTTGTAAATCTATGTCAGATCTACACACGTTTTGTTGTACTTCCTTATAGACCTATTTAAATAAATCGGAATGCGCGCGGAGATGGTTGTAGATACCAATACTCCTATTATTGAATCAGTGGACTTTGATAACCACATATATATTCAATCGTAAGGGTGACTGTACACACAAGTATCACTGCTTTTTACGCATGGGTGTGTATTTCAGTCAATGCAATTAAAAAGTAATATCTTTCCACACATACACCCCAGAGTCACACCCATGTATAGACATATCTTTATATACCAATGTATGTACATATCTATTTATCCCACCTCTATTTCCATTCACGTACAGCTTTAACCACTGGGACTGGTCAGGTGTCTTAGTACTCGGTCACTAACAGGAGACCTCGATTTCTGTACAAATTTAGTCTCAAACGGGTGTTGAAAGGTAATATATGGGATATAGACTGTAGTAGTATTATGAGTAGTTGATCTCTCTATCTGTATAGTAGAGTCTATTGCTAGTAGAGAGTAGAAGTAGAGACTCTAGTAGCAGAGAGAGTGAGAGAGAAAAGAGTCTGTGAGTGAGCTCAGTGAGCTCACGCGCAGAGGACAGTGGCTCAGACAACTTGACAATACTCACAAGAGTTATTATTAGGGTCTCTTCGAGAGTGCGAGTCATTTTGATAAATATTTTTATACCATCACAGCTGATGAGATAAGCCGGCCGAACGGAGGGCATTCGGGCGACGAGCAGTGCATTCAGATTTCAGTATTGGCTTGAAATTTCAAATTTGGTCTTTTCATTTAAACCAAAATGGCTACATTTTGGAGTTGCGAATATCTCAAATAATGAGTACTCGACCATCAGTTGAGTAAATACTTCCCATATTCTGCTTGGCTAATGGCTACAATTGCCGGAATTTTGAAATTTGGAGTATTAATTGGGACGGTCAATGAGATATCAAAAAGCCTAAGGACAATTTCAAAAATGTCAATAAAACAATAAAAAAAGTTATACGAAAAAAAAATAGTTTGACAATTGACAATTGACAATTTGACATTTCATATTTGACACTTGGGCCTGGGCACTAAACTGATGAGTCATGATCTGTCGTGATGATGAGAATGAGACTGTGAGAGTGTGAGTCTGTGACTTGTGAGTCTGGACTCTGTCTCTGTGTCTCTGTGAGTCTGCGAGATCTGAGACTGAGGGACGAGATCACGGACACGAGGTGTAAACTTTAAAAACCTATTGACATACAAAATTATAATATTTATTATACATAACCTTTTTGTATGATTCAGTAGGCTATGTATTATATTTATTAGTTTGGTCATTGGTGACTCTATTCCAAATAAGGCTATGTATCAATCGCTGGCCAGAGGCCAGTGTCTACTCGCTATGCCCACTTTAGAAAACCCATATTTGGTAGAGTAGAGTTGCGACTTGTGACTTGTGCAGTTGTGCACTTAGTTCTATTTTTACATGGCACTTTGGACTCTGATCCAGGAGTCAGTTTGCGAGAGGAGGCGCTGGCGATTTTTTTTTAGGGTTCTCTGTTTTTAAAAAAGTGGACAAATACTCCGGACTATCTGGAATTTTACTGGTACCAATCACCTAATAAAATCTCGACTTGTCCATTTATCGGTTTCGTCCCGGTCAAAATTCATCATTCTTGTCCAGTTCGTCATATGCAGCCACGACCCTGACTCTGGGCCTCTGGCTTTATTTGTTCTGGCGTGTATTTTAAACGCTATCCATTGGTCAGTTGAAAACTATTCACTTTCCTAAAATATATTTTTAGGAATATTATTCGGCGTTCGGTATGGATGCTGTGTTATCTAATTAGTTACAAAAATATAGACTAGTCCAGGATTGATCTGTTTTGGCGTGTTATTTACTCACTCTCCATTGGCTGTTTTCAAAATATATTCTCTCCCACAAACATTCTTTCAGGAATATTTTTTCGGTATTCTTAGGGTTACAGTGCTTTTTTTAATTTGTACTATAAATACCCACTGCCGGCTGTCCAGTACTCAAGCCCGCCCGGAGGTTTTGTCATTTGTGGCCTGTGGCCTGTGAGTCCGATGACGAATTGGCGATGTTTCCGCCTGTCCGGGCCAGTTGGAGTTTGGGCCGTCCGCAGTCTGACTCAGTCCGGACAGTATTCTTCAATTTTCTTTCATTTTAGAAAACCACTAACTAAATTGTATAATTGACTCCTTCGTTCTATTTATTTATTCGTTCGTTCGGAAGCTATTTTTATATTGTTTTTGTCAAAAAATATACCAGAAATTTTTTTGGAAACCAAGAGACCAGACGAAATATTATAACTTTCTAAACAGAGAAATCGAAATATTGTCCAATTCGGCAATTCCCACCGGTTTAATATCGTTATAAAGCTGTGTTATTCCGAGGTTTCTGGATGCTCTGGTAATAAGTATCAATATGTTCTTCCGAGTCTATGATAAATAAACTCCACAAAATATGGTTATATGCGGTAAAAGCATCGTAAAGTAAAATAGTAAATATACATTCATTTCACCGGTCGATATTTACTTACTTTATTTGGATTAATAACTCGGTATAACAACTCAAATAAATATAGTCAGCATACGGCAAATTTCAATCGTATTTCACAAAAAGACTTTGACATCGAAGCATTCAACATGAAGCTGCACATTCAACTAGCCGCACTGGCTTTGAGCATGGGAGCCTGCCAGGGTTGGTGGGACATTGGTCACAAAAGTATGCTGTACTTCACACCTCTATTGTTTTACCGTTTGTAGGGATCATTTTCTGGCTTGGTATGAGAAGCGTATGTGAAGTTTTAATGAGCTTGCGTGTTATTGTATTTTGCATAAAATGGAACACTGTATTTTGACATTATGTTCATTCCTCCAACTCCAGCTGCTGCCGCTATTGCTCAGCAGTTGATGAAGAATGAGCACTCGAAGAAGGTATGCCCGGCGTTCTTCAAGGTGTAATTCTAAGGTTAGAACATGTAGGCCTTCGCGTAATTGAATTTGCTGGTTGGTTGTCAATATGCCATCTCTTCGAAATGGAGATATGTAGTTTTGCTTATAGAGCCCTGGTATATATATGTAGGATGCAACTTATAATATGGGGGCTCTAGTATTGTTCTACAGCTTGCACATATTAAAATAGCTTCACTGGTTAAAAAAAATGCGCGTATGGTCTTGACTTAGTGTTCGTTTTAACATATATGGCATGCCAATCTCATATACCCCGTATGAAACCTTCTCTGTTGTAGCAAATGGCGAACATTCTCAGTTACCTTGACGCAATATACACCGACGAATCACAACCCGAGATGTGGACCGCCGGAGATCGAGACGCACAGGGCACCGTTCGACCCGAATTGCTGAGGTGAGTCACTGTCCAAGTGCTATCCATATTGGGCGAAAAATACGATAAGAATGCATGGAATAGATTTATGTGGATGGTTCATGTATATTGATGCCCGGCCCATGTTATTCTCCTCGCTTGCAGTTCTACGATGGCACAGGCGGCGAGTAACCCCGATGTAGCTAAGTACTACTACAACATGAACATCTTCGGCGAGTGGCACTACATCAACCAGAAGTATGATCCCGAGGGCCTTGACACCGAGGATACGGGTTGCAACACGGTATGTTGTTGGTTCTGTTATGATCAGCGCTTGTTAACGGTATGTTGTTGGTTCTGTTATGATCAGCGCTTGTTAATTGCAGTGAGTTGCTCTGGCTGAATTACATTCTTGTGCTTGATATAATACGACCAGTGCTTATACTTTGGCATCGCTCTTCAATTTGCTGATCCTGTGTTCAACATGCGTACTTGTTGTATCAACTGTTAAACGTTTACATAATGCACCATAAATACATGACATAACCATATGGTGTCATCTCATTCCAGGTGATCAAGGCAGTACTATAGAATGGGTAGTAGAGCTCAAATGAAATGTAACTACACTTTTCCCACTCACCATAGGCAACACAAGTGAACGCCAAAACACAATTCGAAGACATCGCTGCGGATGTGATGTCCGACTACAATGGGCGCCAGACAGCGCGCTGGTACACGCACTTTGGCACCATCATGTTAATCCATATAATCAGTGACGTACACCAGGTATGAGCTAAGTTGCTGTGGACTTGTATTGTACATGGGTATTATTTGTACCATGTGTATGTGACTTGTGCAGCAAACACGACCATTGATACCAGTACGCCGAATCGACCTCAGCACAAGTTTTCATATTTGTGAATATGGAATGGTTCTAGTACGCCGTGTACTTTTTGACTACAAACAGGCCGACACCAGTATATGACCCAAATGTACCCCAATTCAAGTCTGCATACATGGACATACTGTATGGACGTATGCAATCATACTAACCATCCTCTCTCTCTCTGTGTGTGTCCTTTCACAGCCATACCATGCAGTTGGTCGTTGCATGATGTGGGAAGGAGAGCTCGATCAGGATCTGGGTGGCAACCGCTGGACCTTTACTATGCCTGACGGCAGCTCCACTAACATGCACACCTTCTGGGATGCCGGTCAATTCTTCTGGGACTATCCCGCTCAAGGTAAGCTTGTGCTCTAGTATTCGGATGCTACGTGGGATAAACGCGTTCCTGTACATCATGCAGTATCCGTATGGCAACAATAAGCGGTTCCGGTCAAGTGCGTCATACCTTTCGCATGAACGTTTTGGATATCAGTCCGCCAATCGGGCACAACCTTGTATGAACGCACAGTACGTTATGGCCAATACAAACGCGTCCTTCTATCCGTCTGCGCCACACAGCCAAGCTGGAGGCTACAGATCCCACATATGAGAAGTTTGCGGCTGAGCTTATTGCCAAGTACCCCGTTGACACACTAGCTGCCGAAGGTTATGACACCAACTTCACAAGAGTATGTCTGTCTGTGTGCTCTAGAAATGTTTTATGTGTCTGGGGCCGAGGTTTGGCGATCATTGAGTGCGTAAGTTGTGTGCAAATGTTGACAGGGATACCCGTCTTTGTAGAATAAAACCAGACGTTCTGAAATGGATTTGTATACACAAATTTTATACTAATTAAGTTGTAAATATAATAAATGAAATATATATCTTGGAAATGTATGAAATGTGTTGTATTAATATTGCTTAGCTGTGCGTTAAACATTGAAAATGTTTATAAATGTGTTGCAAATAATGAAACGGTCATATCACATGATAGTTGGCTATATCTATCCCTATCAGTCTATATTACTGTCTCCAACGACATATGCACAGCTGAATAGCTCTAACAACATATGAATAAGCGACCAATCATCTCATTCTAATGTACCTTTCGCACCTTCTTTGATGCGTACAACCAGGATGGAGACATGACCCAGATGTCCGAAATGATGACCCAGTGGTTGCTTGAAAGTAAAACCATTGCTGAGCAGTCCTATGAGCAGGCTCCTGTTCTAGGTGGCCCCATTAATCCGGTATGTGCGAGGGAGTATAGTGCACATTTACGTACTTTATCTGTGGGTATAGTAAACATTTACGTGCTTTACTAGTGAGTATAGTACACATTTACGTACTTCATCAGTGAGTATAGCACATATTTACGTACTTTACCAGTGAGTATAGTACACATTCCGTACTTTCCCAGAGAGTACCGTACACATCCCCTAACACGACGTGTTTGTACTGTCCCATTGCGCACAGGAATACATCAACGTGTCGCACATTATCTCTGAGAAGCGAGTCACCATCGCAGGACACCGCATGGCCGCCTTCTTCGACGGACTTCTGGCCAATACAGAGTACCCCAAATACGAAGCCAAAACAACTGGCACGGAGGAGCAGGAGTTCACCAACCTCAACATCCACGTCAAGCTGTCCCAGGAGTGCAACGACATGGCAACGGTGTGTCTTCATTCAGTGACGGCTGCGATGTACGCGTCGGCGTCTGTGTTGCGTGTTGTGGGTGGAGTGGATACCATTCCTTTAGGAGGTGATAGGCATATTGCACATAGGCGTTTGTGTTCTAATACAACAGTGGCTAGATGTGATTCTCGGCTCATCTGTTACTGTTACTGTATCATTAACCAATCTCTCTCAGCAATACAACCAAGACTATATCACCATCCAATCTCTCTCAGCAATACAACCAAGACTATATCACCATCCAATCTCTCTGAGCAATACAACCAAGACTATATCACCATCCAATCTCTCTCATCAATACAACCAAGACTATATCACCATCCAATCTCTCTCAGTATTACAACCAAGACTATATCACCATCCAATCTCACTCAGCAATACAACCAAACTATATCACCATATAATCTCTCTCGGCTCACCTGTTACTGCAACTATCATCATCCAATCTCTCTCAGCAATACAACCAAGGCGCCACAGATGTATTGGGCGCTGGTAACAACACCGTGGACTTTGTCAGTGGTCTGAACGAGCCCCATCTCACGCTGTACCTGACAGACTTCCAAAACAGTCACATAAAGGACGTGGCCGCTGTAATCAACAACTTTGGTAAGCCGTACAAGCTACACGTATTCCCATACAAGCTAACCGAATTCCCATACAAGCTACCCGAATTCCCATACAAGCTACACGTATTCCCATACAAGCTACACGTATTCCTATACAAGTACACGTATCTCCATACAAGCTACACGTATCTCCATACAAGCTACATGTATCTCCACATGACCTAAAATTTTGCGCTCAGAACACACTCAACGTTCACAGGACATACACACATAACATGAGCACGAGCACGCGAGAACGAACACCCTTACCTGTTACGAATAGTTTGTTACATCGTCGCATGCCTGTACACACACGCTTATCGGACGACACGAATTGCCCTCTACAGTGTGGGCGGAGGACTGTGAGATTGTACTGGACCACGGTACTAACACAGGCACCGGCTATGCATTTTGGGACCCAAATGAAGTGCAGCCCGCCTGTCTGCGCAAAATGGCTGATGCGATCATGGAAGTCACCAAGGCATACATCGTGACACCAACGGTAGGTACCTGGGCAATATATAACCCGGACATGACACGGGGACTCGTTATTTATATATTTTATAATTATTTATCATGTATGATATAGTGCGATATATAGTTATATATTTTAGTATATAGTTGAATAGCATGTTAGTGTTATAAATAACATACATATTTAATATAATATATAATCCGACATGCAATTATATATTATATATTATATTGTATATAATTTGAATATCATACATTTGATGTCTTAAGTGCAATGCAGTGGCATGGCACTGACCAACACTGCTCAGGCCGTAAACTCGAAACGTATTCTGATACTGAACTTCCAACCAACAGGAGGAAGGACTCCCAACATGGATTGCCGACCTTCCCGAGCCAGAGCGAACGGAAAAGACTAATGCGTATTGGGATTTCGGATCACCTAACGTTGGAAGCCAATTCCAACCACATGTGACGTACGCTGCCGTGGCCTACGGAGGCGACACAAGGTAAGCTGACATGAGCTCAAATATCACTCAATAAACACACACACACACACACATATATATATATATATATATATATATATATATATATGAAGCAGATTTTGCCCTTCCTTGAGGTACATTGGGGTATTCACACAAATCCTCCCCATCCGCCTCACAGCAAGTTTGATGAAGTGGCTGAAGTAGCTGGCACTGCTGCCGGCTCGGCCGTGTGCACGTATATCGTATCAGAGATCGCCCTAGGACAAACCGGGTTGTCAGGTACCGTGCTTACGGGTTTGGATATAGCCTCAACCACTAATGTTGGGGGAGCACCCGCTGAGGCTGAGGCGTCCACTGCGGGTGAAAGCGGAGACGATTCCAGCTCAGGCACCAGCGCCGGGGTTATTGGCGGATGTGTTATCGGTATGTCTTTGATATGTGTATGTGTGTATGTATGAATGTGTGTGTGTATGTATGTATGTATGTATATGTATAGGTATTATCGTAAGTGGTCTGTACGTTCTTTTCCAATCGGGAGAGGTAGTAGGCATATGCGCCTTTCCGCCTGTGTATTTGTATGTGTGTGTACTCTACTACTTGAACGTCCCGTGTGCATGCCGTCATACAGACTCCTGTGGGCCGGCACAACACCCTCAAGTGCCCGTCCCTCACCTTTAACGTTTACCAATGCGTTTCGTCTGCAGGTGGGTTGGTTGTCGGTGCACTCATTGGCGGCGTGGCTGTGAAGATGATGTCCAAGGGTAAAAAGTCGGACGGTCCAACCGAGGAGTCTACCACCAACTTGTCCTAAGTCCTAAATCCCAGGTGCATAGCTCAGGTGCAGTTCAAGTCTTAAGTGAACCAGGTGACGTTATGTACTCCATATGAAGAAGGCGCAGTCCAGTAGCGCAACAGCCCACAGCAATGCGGCAATCTCCACAGCCGATGGCACGGGAGTACTATCAATGCGGGTGTACAAGAAGAGACTAACGGGTGAACAAGAAGAGACTAACAACCACCACCATAGCCAATGCACGAGTCAGGGCGATGGGCCCCACTTACTTAATAAAATAATCTACCTATCATGAATAAAGACCAGTTCTATCTACATATCATGAATAAAGAACAGTTCTATCTATATGTCATGAATAAAGACCAGTTCTATCTACATATTATGAATAAAGACCAGTTCTATCTACTTATCATAAATAAATACCAGTTTCATATACATATCATGAATAAAGACCAGTTCTATCTACATACCATGAATAAATACCAGTTCTATCTACATATCATGAATAAAGACCAGTTCTATCTACATATCCTAAATAAAGACCAGCTCTAGCTGTGTATTAAACGCTGTCGTATTGCAATCCCAGGTTCAGTGTTGAACATCGGCTGACTGAGGTGTAGGCAGACATTTACCACTGGCTGTGTGTCCCTGGGCAATGCCCAAAAGGGCAAGCACACGCAGCTTAACGGGTTTAATATTAATCACCAAGCTTTATGATTCCGTGGCACACACAGCGGCTTCATGCATGCGGCCAGCGTTCTATGTAGAGGTTACATATAGTATATATGTGGGATGTACATACTTTGATAACTACATATATGCATATATCAACGGGATGTTTGCGCCCATATCTATCAGTACAATCATACTATCATCTTTGTGACTCGTGCCAGTTGTTAACGGGATGTGTACGCGTTCATTTACTACCGTGATCACACCCCCATATTAATGCCGTACTCTCACCGCCTTCTATGTACTAGTACTAAAACTACCACAAATCAGTACCATACTCACACTACTATCTATATACTCGTGCATACTCTACCAAATCAATCCCATACTCACACTGCCATATATATACTCGTGCTCACACTACCATTTATTCACGCCCGTTCTGAGAGCGGACACCTTACGCCACCTCTGCATCTCCAGCAGCTTTGTGTAGTCGTGCAGCCCCTTGCGCAGGATAACCACGCTCCCCAAATGACGCGTAAGCGTAAACGACTTCTTCACTGCGGTGCTGTCGTCCAGCACGAATAGCTGTGATGTGATCATGCAGAGAGAGGTGGGTTAGGGTTGGAGTGGTGTACGCGACAGTAGAGTGAAGATTTGGATATACAGATATGGAGATATACATACATGTATGCATGTATGCATGCATACATGCATACTTACATACATGCATACATATATACAAACGAACATACATAACATACATACATACATACATACATACATACATACATACATACATACATACATACATACATACATATGTACGTACATACATACATACATACATACATATATACACACACTCATACGATGCCATGCTGAATGTACAATAGCTCATCCTGCCGTGCGGTCACACAACATCTGAACGCAGTGCTCACTATCAATTGCATCTGCGCACATACACACCCGACGATGCATGCTCACAGCCCAACACCCACATAAGACATCTGGCATAACCTGCTATGTAGATACCCAACACCATCTCAACATAGCGCTCGCTATTCGTTGCCACCAGGTGTCTGTTGGTTGCCAATGCCGGCAAGCTATACCATGTGCTTGTAAATACGTACACCAAATAAAGACACGGCACGGGCATAGAATGCATACACAATGGTAGCCCAACCCTTACATAAACACTGTTCACGCACATGGCATGACCACACACACACTCGCATGCTGTAGCTTACCCTGCTCTGTAGAGACACAACATCATCTGGGCGCAGCACGCGCTCTTCCAACGGCACCAGCTGTCCATTCGCCTCAAACACCGGAATGTCTGTACGTTGTACGTTGTGTGACGCTGCCAGCTACAGCACAGGGTGAAGGGGACGGGGGAGGTTACAGTATCGGAACACAGCCGTATACACTCGTGGGGTGTGCGTGTGGGAAGGACATACTGTACTCGCAGGCAGCTGAACCCCAAAACCCTAAATCCTAAGCCCTGGTCCCCAAGCCCTGACTTTAAACCTTAAACTTCTAACAGTGCTAACGTCATCTCTGTGATGTTTGTATTTGTACACTTGATGACGGGTACAGTACTGTCGACAGCGTGTCAAGACAGGATAGGGTGTGTGGGGGGATCAAATATATTGGAACAAGGGTGTTGCGTCATACCTTATGTAAACATAAGTATGTGAATAGCCCTATTCAATTCAAATATAAATTATAATATATATATATATATATATATAGAATGATGTGGCGCAGATGTTCTACTTCACTGGCGAAACTGCTTCCCGCTTCTTGCGCTCCTACTTAACGTCCATTCATATCACACAGCAAACCGCATCTCCGACTAACCAGCGCCGAGTCAAACTTCAAATACTCCAAACCTTAAACCCTCAATACGACAAAGCCAAATCAAAACTTTCAATATAATTTTGAACCATCAGGACAGTCACACCGGCTGCTTATGAACCGTGCCCGTGGCCTATGCACTTTCGTTCCAAAACGATTTGTTCATACGCACATCTATCAACTTTCACTCACAACAGAGCGGTGCTCCAAATACAGATCACATGATATCGTACTACCCTCCCTACCTCTTCATCGAGTGCGCATGCAAACTCTTTGCGCTCGGCCTTCTGTTTATATCTCTTTTGGTATAGTTTCGCCTTAAAGGATACTTTTTGGTTGCCTCCCTGCAAGTGACCCATGGTACAAAATCACACACGTGCGTGGTCAGCTTTTGATCTACAAAAACACACATGCACACACGCACGTACACATACATGCACACACATGTATATATATATATATATATATATATATATATAGTGTGTGTGTGTGTGTATATATATATATATATATATATATATATATATATATTATTATATATATATATATATACATATACTATATACATATTTATATATTTATATATATATATATATATCATCACGCATATGTACATGCAAGCATGCAAACCCTATACATGACAATAAAGCTCTATTACTGAGTATTAGTGAATGAACAAAATGGTCATTCCAAAGCATATACCCTTCCAACAAAATCCCGAATCATGCCCTTATCTACCATCAATACACGGAAATCAAGGCTCGCACGTGTGTACATCAACAATAACTAGCACTCCAATACGTTCATCACACCCACCCCGGAACACCTCGAAGAAACACTACATCCCATCTCGCTTCAGGCATCTTGTATACTGACCTGTTCATGTAGCGGAGACTTGAAACGCGTTCGCAGTAACTCAATGGCCTTCTGTCGGTTTGGCTCTGTGATCTGTGGTGAACAGGCGCAGAGGTGCAGCGCAACAGCATTGGAAGACGTGTTACGAAGTGATTGGGTTATAATCGCACACGTTGGCCTGTTGTCAAATGATAAGCTACGTGCAGGTTAAAGACTACCAGCCATTAATCCTGTCTGTATCAGCGTCTGGGTGTGTGTGCATACGAATACGATCCCACAAACCCTATGCCAGTTGACAAACCCTATGCCGCCAGTTGCAGATCCGCACCACTCGTTGTACGCCCACACACACACAGCCACGCACATACACCGATCTACTAAAACCCTAAAGCCCCAAAACTCAAAACCCAAAACCCCATAAAAGCCCAAAAATCGGCAAAAGGGACAGGCACGAGGCCAAACCCCGGGCTACACATACATCTCCTGCGAGTTTCTTGTATATGTTTCGGTTGTCGATGACATGCTCCAACAGTTTCTCCTCAATGGCCGCAAGCCATGTGACGTACTCGTCAAACAGAGCGTTGGGTTGCTGTCCGGGTATCAACGGCTTATCGGTGACCACGCACTCCTGTGCGAAGGATGAGCCAGGCAAGGGATCAGATGATGGTAATACAACAACACTTATGATGATAATACAACAACACTTATGATGATAATACAACAACACTTATGATGATAATACAACAACACTTATGATGATAATACAACAACACTTATGATGATAATACAACAGCACTTATGATGGTAATACAACCACACTTATGATGATAATACAATAACACTTATGATGATAATACAACAACACTTATGATGATATTACAACAACACGCCACCGCACAGACAGACTGGATGTTGCGCATGAGCCTCTACAGCTACAGTAGATCTCTTCGAAAGCTTGTGCAAACCGACGTCGCTTGCTATAATTCACACAGGCATGCAAGCAGCGGCGCGTTAGAGGTACACGAATAGTATGTGGGCCAACCAACAGCTTCGCAGCGCTCACACACCCACAGTTCGATAATTCAGAAGCCTGTCTAATCTAAACACATGCGATACACTGGCCTTCAGTTGAGATGCAATTATGAAGTAGCAGCACAGCCCATCACACTACGAACGCCTGTGCTAAAACAGCCCACCCCACTACGAACACATGTGCTAAAACAAACCACCATACTACGAACGCCTGTGCTAAAACAACCCACCACCCCTACGAACACCTGTGTTAAAACAACCCACCACCCTACGAACACCTGTGCTAAAACAGCCCACCACACTATGAACACCTGTGCTAAAACAACCCACCACACTACGACCACCTGTGCTAAATCAACCCACCAAACTATGAACACCTGCGGCACACACCTGCGTGGCCTTGTGGAAATTGACTACGTTGCCCTTGTGGTCGATTGATCCCATGTTGCCTTTCAGCCCTGAGAATGTATTAATTCGACAGGAGAGTGTATTGATACGAGTAGGAATGTATTAATACGACAGGAGAGTGTATTGATACGAATAGGAATGTATTAATACGACAGGAGAGTGTATTGATACGAATAGGAATGAATTAATACGACAGGAGAGTGTATTAATACGAATAGGAATGTATTAATACGACAGGAAAGTGTATTGATACGAATAGGAATGAATTAATACGACAGGATAGTGTATTAATACGACAGAAGAGTGTATTGATACGAATAGGAATGTATTAATACGACAGGAGAGTATATTAATACGAATAGGAATGTAATAATACGACAGGAGAGTGTATTGATACGAATAGGAATGAATTAATACGACAGGACAACATGTGTGGGATACATCATGTGGTATGTAAACACGATGTCACGGCTGAAAAGGGTTTATACAGACTACAGTACATGCAGCGTGTATAGCAAGATGGCAACGAATTCAGCATAATCACACACATTCGCATATATATATGTATATATATTTCAATACACAGAACACTTTTATGACATACGTATACACATGTCAAGGATGCTCAGAAATGTGTGCACGCACATATAAAAAAGTGTACGTACACTGCACATACACAGCACGCGTGCAACGGTAAGGTACGATATGCTCATGCTATAATGTGTGTGTATACTAATCAGACTGTGACCATGCACATATTGGCGTACAGGGCCATGTACACACACATACACATTTATGTGTTGATACAAAAGACACCAACACCGATGAAAACAATAAAAAATACATGCGACGTAATATGAGACACATGAAACTTTCATTCTAGCATGGTGTTCGTGCATATGTGACCTACAAACATACAGTCAAATAAGACGTGTACTTCATATACAGTACGAACCAGGACATACTCCCATAGAACTCTGTTACGAACTCTATGAATGTGACAAGTACATACATGAATCCTCAAATCCACATACAAAATCCCTCACAAAGCAACATAGAACTATGCCTCCGCACTCATCTCTGCGACTTCTGCTGCATATACACTCTCACATATTCCCACACCCACCCCCCCCCCCCCCCCACACACACACACACCACACACACCATATATATATACATACTACTACACTACCACACGTACTACCGACCGACCACCTCCGTCCGACGGGTACGGTAGTGGTCGGTCGGTAGGAC